ATCCGTGCATTTCTTATGTAAATAATGTTAATCAAAAAGAGCAAAAGAAAAATTGTTCGCTGCTTTAATGGATATTTACTTTCATGTTAATGTTAATAAAGTAATTCGATGTGACTACAGTAATACCGGGGGGGATTGTTGGATGTTGGGGGGGCGCGAATGACATTAGACCAACTTGGGGGGGCGCATGTCCTAAAAGGTTGAAAACCCCTTTCTGGTATTATTGTGTGTGTGATTAGGAACTATTGAAACCTGTTTCCACCTCAGAGTTGAAAAAAAGATAATTGTGTGTAAAATATGAAATTATCTTGTATTGTGAGATACAGAGTCGCAATTATAAAATAAAGTTGAAGTTGTGAGATAAATTCGCAATTTTTTATTTATGTATGTATTCATTTAGGGTGGAAACAGATTTCCATAGTATACAGAATTCCAAAGAAAAACTTGTTTTCGTAATCATTAATAAAAAATTTGAAGAAAAATATCATTGGCCAATAATATCATAAATCCAGTCAAATCCTAATGGATAAAATCAAGTCTTGTCTTGTCTTTTATTATTTATTTATTTTGTGGCTTACAAAATATGCCACATTCCAGAAAGTCTTGTCATCTTTAGCAATTATGTCAGTTTAAAATACCACTTTTTTTTATTGTGGGCATTATTTGTTCTGAGATATTTCTTTTAAAAACTGCTGACCTGTTGCCATAATCTTCCTCCACAGGAGTGTACCATGAAAGTCCAGGAGGGGAAGTTCAAACTGCAGGATCTCCTGGTGGTCCCTATGCAGAGGGTCCTCAAATACCACCTTTTGCTTAAGGTGAGAGTCACCATCAACACTACTATGAGCTGTCATTAAGAGTGTTATAAGAAAAATTCAGGAACCTGTTCAACTTCCATTTATTTCGTTTTCGTTTTAAAGTTTGAAAACAGCAGAACGACAGTACCTTGTGAACCTCCAAACCCTATAAAACATTCAGATCATTTTAACTCATCCAACAAGACCTATGTAGCTCACCACTCTGCTCAGCCACTGCTAATAGAGATCATGTATAAAACAGGATGCCCTGCATGATACAAACCATCATTAATTCACAACACACATTAATAATGGATATGGAGAGAAAGAGTGTGACGTGTGACAGACGGCCAGGATACAGCGGAGAGGGAAGTGAGCAATGGGAGGTGGATACAGTGACACTGTTTAAATCAGCCATGCTTAAATCATATTATCCGCAGCCCATTTCATACACTCAAACCCAGGGAGTGTTGCTGTGTGTGAGTTGTGCTTTAGATGGCATGTGCTTGTTCTTAAAATTTTTGTTAAAACTAACAAGTCCTCATTCCTTTGGGGACATCCTCATTTGTTTTCCTCAGATAAAAAAGTAACATGCATGACAAATATGACACATTATTTCAACAATACTATTACAAGCATTTAACAGCCCCGTGGTATAAATAAATTATTTACTACTAATTATTTTTTCGATGTGTGTGTATATACATATATACACAACATTAAAATAATGTATTTTAGAATGAAATATCACCATAAATAGGCTAAGTCTTGTGTCAGGCTAAGTATTTGTGAGTTATCATTATGTTGTCTGTCCACAGGAGTTGGTAAGTCACTCTATGGACCGCCCGGAGAGGCAGCAGCTTAAAGAGGCACTAGAAGCCATGCAGGTTTGAACTCTTATATGACCGTCATATACACATAATATCCCAATACAGTGTTTGATGTCAACAGTTGGGTTGTAATATAATTATGCCAAGCAGAATGTTTAATGTGCAATGATCTCTGGGACTTTGTATTTTGGGTAATGAGTTGCTTGGATTTTTTTATCTGAGTGTTTTGCCTTTGTCTGTTTATTTGTCTTTGAAGGACTTGGCAATGTACATCAACGAGGTGAAAAGAGACAATGAAACCCTGAAGAAAATAAGTGAATTTCAGAGCTCAATAGAAAATCTAGTAAGTGTTCATGAAGTGCGATTCACTGGCATAATCTGAAAAAATGCGGAAAGAGGACGTACTTTAAAGGTCATTAATAATTATTTTTATGTCCCTGTTTGATTGAAAGATATTGAGAACTGAGAGATGCTGAGAACATCATAGCTGGTATCAGTATTTCAGCATTTTGGGATGGACTCAACAGTAATTCATGGTGGCTTCACGAAAAGCTTCTATGAGGATTGCAAAAAATATGGTTGGCCCCCTCTACTGTGTCAAGTGAAAGACTTATGATGTCTGAGGTTGTGCACATTTCAGCATGCTGGCCAATTCCTCTTTATCCCCAAACATTAAGTTGTTTACAAGCCTCTACCTGCCCCCCGTCTGTCACTTCTGTTCAGTAAAATAAATCCTGAAAGCCTCCAGGCCATGAGCACAGGCAGGACGTGTTTAGGACTGTTTAAAGGGAATAAAATCAGTGTATCCTCTCCCAGTAGCTAATTTAGGAGTTAGTGTATCTGCTCTGGTTTATTTATGTGAGGGTCTGTGGTGCAGATGACGCCCGTGGCTAAACATCAAAGAGCCAATGAGGCATGCCACTTACAGACAAAAGACATTCACTGTGGCCTTTGCCAGTTGCATGTATGTACAGTTGTATGTATGTAGCATTTATTTGCCAGTAACATCTAAGATAATTGCATAAAGTCTTATTCTGTTTATACAGTATGTTGTTTTCCCCCATCTTGGAGCCACAGTTGATACATAAACCTATTTATGTAAAAAAAAAAAAATTACAGAAATGTTTTTACAATAACAAAAAATACAGCAACAGTATGGAGCTACATAATAATGGAGATATTTTGCAATAAAGAACTCTTTTGATATTTTTTCTCACACAAAAATTATCTGCAAACAAAATGACGTGCAAGACAAAAAAATTCTACAACAAAACCTTTTAAACCAAAACATTTTTTTTGTGTGTGAAAACAGTTCTGAAGGAAAAAATCTGTGGTTTTGCTTGCAAAATCTTTCTTGAGATGCACAATAAAGACAAACAATTAACTCACTGTAACTATCCATATGTCAGTATTTGAGAAATCTGTCATTATTTTTGCAATTCCATTTAATGCATTCAAATGTAACTTACATGTAATATTCCATATTGCATACAGGAACAATTGATGCTTGAATGTATGTCACAAAGTAATGTATAAATTCCTTGAGCCATTATGCCAGTATAAATGTATTAACTGTATTTGTGTCTGTTTGTGTGCGTGTGCTTGCGTCATTCACAGCAGGTGAAGTTAGAGGAATATGGTAGGCCAAAGATAGATGGAGAGCTTAAAGTGTGCTCTATAGTTAACCGGACCAAACAAGACAGGTACGACTGCACCTTCTTTATGTGTTTTCATATGAAACATGAAGAAATGGCCTTTGACCTGTTCTGCTACAAACATATTGTGTTATCTTTTATCTGTTTTCTGTACCTAGATACATCTTCCTATTTGATAAAGTTGTGATTGTTTGCAAGAGGAAAGGTTATAACTATGAGTTAAAAGAGATCATCGAACTTCACTTCTACAAGATGTCTGATGACCCTATGAATAACCGTGACATGAAAAAGGTGAGAGGCCTTTGATTCGTCAGCCATCAGGCCTGTTTCAGAATAATTATTCCTGATTTTATTGCTTCTTTCAAATTGATTCAGGCAATGATCTTTATGTATTGCGTGTTAACCGTGCAAAAGCAAATAGGATGATCTGAATGTTTGCTCTGTGAATAGCACAGATGGATTGCATTCATTATACACTTGTCCTTGAGTGTTAAAGCATGATGCTCATAATTTCAACAAATCAGAGATGATGCACTGCCCTCTTCGGTGCTCTAGCATGTGTATGTAAATGCAGAGAATCCAATGCATTCTCCATGAATCTAACAATCAGGAATTTTGCATGTATATGAGAATGCATGTGTAACAAGGGTCTCTCTCTCTCTCTCTCTCTCTCTCTCTCTCTCTTTCTCTCCTTTTCTCTATCCGCCTTCAATATCTTTGCATGCCTGCCAGTCGAGTGGAAAAATGGTAAGCTGAATGCTCATGTTCTCTAAGCATTGAGGTGCTGTGATTGTGCCTTTCACTTCTGTGATATTGTGATCTGTTTTCTGTCATCTCATGAGATCCACAGCAGTTTTACACTGCCAGAATGTAAAATCATAGTGTTTACAAATTGGCAATTTAACATTTTCAGTAGAATCCATTGAGTTGCATTTTTCAAAGTTCAAGTTATTTTTTACTTGACACAGCACGTTAAAGGGTTAGTTCACCCAAAAAGGAAAATTACCATCATCATCATTTACTCACCCTCAAGTTGATCCAAACTTATATGAATTTATTTCTTCTGTTGAACACAAAAGAAGATATTTTGAAGAATGTTGGTAACCAAACAGTTGCCAGTAGCCATTGACTTCCATAGGATTTTGCCCTACTATGAAAATCAGTGGCTGCATTCTTCAAAATATCTACTTTAGTGTTCAGCATAAGAAAGGAACTCATACAGGTTTGGAACAATTTGAGGGTGAGTAAATGATGACAGAATTTTCGGTTTTGGGTGAACTATCCCTCTAAAGAGCCCATGAAGTCAAATTAGAGTTTTATGACTTTTAGTCCACGTCCGTTAGCTTTGAGGTCTGTGTTAGTGTAGCATTGACAAAATTAAATTCACACAAATTGTACAATACCATTCAAACGTTTGGGGTCAAAGGTTTTTTGATCCAAACAAATGCTTTCTAGAAATGAGAATGTTCCTCTCACTAATACTATAGACTAGCAGTCATTAAATTGTTGGCAGCATGATGTACCTAAAGCCTTTTGGCTATTTTCAAAAAAGGGGCAATCAAAATTTCCCATCCTGTTTAAATAGAAAACTCGTTAACACAGAAAGAGAATGTTAAGTGAATTCATGTGGCCTTTTGAAAAGAAGTATTTGTAGCATTAGATGCAATTGAAAGGCCAAAAATGCATATACATAGACTAAATGAACAATTATAAAACAGTACATACGGTTATGTGAACAACCCATAACACATTTTCAAACCATTCTCTCTCTCTCTGTCCACCACCCGTCCCTCTATCAACCATCTTCTCTCCACCCATAGTGGTCCTATGGCTTCTACCTGATCCATCTGCAGGGGAAACAGGGCTTCCAGTTTTTCTGCAAGACAGAGGACACCAAGCGCAAGTGGATGGAGCAGTTTGACATGGCCATGTATGTTAGAACCGCATCAGTGTCAAAATTACACAGTATTTTTATTTTTGATTGCCATATCACGTGTTAATTATTAATCCATGCAGGTCAAACATCAAACCCGAAAGAGCCACTGCCAACCAGCACAACTTCCAAATGCACACTTTTGAAAAAAACACCAACTGCAGAGCCTGTAAAATGCTGCTGAGGTGAGGGCTCACACGCACAAATGCCACTTCTTCCTGAATTACAGAGGCAGCGCAGTGGACTGAGACGGGATTCAACCCATGTTACTAGGCTACTGGTCTGACCTCTATTACATGAGCTGCTTCACTGATTGGCTGTATTGACTTGTGTGAAATCATAGTGTACTGACCTAAATTTTCCACTCTGCAGCACAGGTCAGTGTGCACAATGGCTGCTAATTATAACAGCTCTGTATTTCAATCTGTGTGCAAACTGGCCTGGGATTAGTTTGGATGTTGAATGTTGTCGCTTAGTTGTGCTGACATATGGAGTCACATGGGGTGATTGTTGTGGTTGTATTAATGCATGATAGGTTGGCTTCCAAAGCCAAGCATCACTGTTACAGTAGCTCATGCCTAGAATTTGAACAAGCCTCTAAGTAACACATTTCATTGTGTAACATGGCACACCGTTTGTGCTATGGACATTAATGATGCCTGAAATTGTGTGACTTGTTAAATTCTAAGCAATTAAATGCATGATTTTGGACCCATAGACTTACATTAAAGTCAGGACCAGAACATCATAGACTTTAGATGCTGTGCACATTACATTTGGTTTTCAAATAGCATCTTTAGGACTGACTGTTCAAGTGATAAAATCTCTTTCAGGCAGTGTTGTCAATATCTGATGTATCTGTTAAAGCAATGATGTAAGCATAAGCACAAAGTGACTTTTTCAGAAAACAGCTTGGAATCAGCATTGACCAAGAGGATGTAAAACTGGATTTTTTTTAGTGAATGTCACATAGTTCCCTATATGAAGACAGAGTAAGAGAAAATGAGTAAATGAGACAAAATGGGCATGTAAACATAAGAGTTCTTGTATTTTGTTGCTGTTAAAAAAAACGGATTGCAAAAAAAATCTGATTCTTTCTGCATGTCTGAACATGGAGACTTGGTAGAGGGCTTTCTTTTGATATGGACCAGTTAGCAGTAACCCAGAACACCTTAGTAACTGTTTAGCAATGCTTTGGCAACTACTTACTGTACAACACCCTAGCAACATAGTGCTGGGTTATGCATGGGCGAGCATCATTCAAAATCATAGCGAAATCTAGTTTGGATTAATTTGAACTTCAGTAGGACCTCAGGAAATGAAGACATATTGTCATATTATATTGACAATCTCCTTCTATCATTCTTTCTTTAGGGGTATTTTCTACCAGGGATACTACTGTCCACTCTGTGGGACTGGTGCCCATAAGGAGTGTCTAGAGGTCATTACCATCTGCAAAATAAGTGAGTCTCTAACAGAAAGCTGCTTCTCAAAGAACCACGTGTACACATCTGCCCTAATTAAAGAGATCAGACCACTGACCATGCTCTCTCTCTCTTTCATTATTATTTCAGGTCCTCATGATTCGGTGAGTTTTTAGTGCCCTGTATTAATAAACTTCCATCTCTCAGATAAATTAATCATCCTCTCTCATTGACTTGAACCAAACTTTACTTCTTAAACTTTGTCCTCAATTTTGAAAAACACTTCAGGGACGTCTTAAATGATGCCTGATCTGCTTATATAAAACTATGTTACACTTTGAAGTGCGTTAAATCATAAATTCCCCTCTGTCTTTAACAGGAGCTGGGGCTTCCACAATCAGGTAAAAATATAAGTAAAATTTGATTTTTGTCTGTCTTTCCTGTGATCCTAATGGGGTTATATCAATATGTAAAATGTAGATACTGTGCACGGCTTCAGGCTGTTAAACTGAAAATTATACTTTAAAGAAATTATACATCAGCTCTCTGCTTCCATCTAGTGCATAGTTCACACATGCAATAAATGCAGAGTGTGGGTGTGTTCTAAGAATATGAATTATAAGCATCCATGTACTTTGTTCTTTGTGCAGTTATAATTAGCTTTTTTTCCCAATGTGTTCTTAAGGTCCAAAGATGGTGGCCATCAGAAATTACCATGGTAACCCTGCCCCGCAAGGCAAAATGCCTCTCTGCTTTCAGACAGGAGATATCATTGAGCTCCTGAAGGGAGATCCAGATACATCATGGTGGGAGGTATATTATAAAAGGAAAATTTACCATGTATACACAGATAACCTGTTCTGTTGTCCAAATTTTACGCTTTCCAGGTAACATATGCTAGTAAAAATAGCCATGGTGAGTAAATTAAATGAAGTAATTGGTCAGTTGGCCTGTTTTAGAAATGATAGCATTGTTTTAAATGGTTGATATTGCAATACATATACAACAGTCCCTTTCTGATGTATCACAATCACAAATCACTAGTCACATTGGAGATACAACCAAATCAGAAATACAGTTTCCTAACAGGTAAGAGATATTTATGACCAGTACATTTCTTCAGTTTTGTCACACACCATTGGCAGGTCAACTTTGAACCCTGGTCATACTTAATGCAGTTTATGTAGTATAACCTGGTGTCTTGTTTTTTTGGGGCTTGCTATCCTTAATTCATTACCTGTTAATTGTTGCATTTTCGTCTCAGGGCAAACTCATCCAAACCCAAAAGACTGGCTTCTTCCCCAGTTCCAGTGTGAAACCATGTCTAGACCCTAAGGTACAGGTTCAAGTACAATAAAATAATTTTAACATTTACATTTTCTTAAATTATTCCTAATCTTTCTTTCCTTTCTCTCAAATATATGTATTCTAGAATTTTAGACAGTGTTCTTCACTATTAGAAATGAAACCAGGCCTTGTTGTCTCAAATCATTTTTTGATGGTTTTCTTCCCTACAGCCCTTCCAGTCATTCTCCAGCCGTCAGTCCTCCAGAGAGACAGATTACTATGTTTATCCCTGGTACTTCATTCTGTTTTAGAACACATTGATTTTTCCATTCTTACTCATTGCATTACCAAGATACTACAAGATTTGGTTTCTTTGTAATACACTGTTCACAGTCTCATATTATATATATATTAATAATATAATTAGCTATGCTACTGTTGTTTGACCTAGTGAAATTTGCGTGGAATTACATGTGTCATAACTAGAATCAGTGGTGATGATTGATTAGCTTTAGACTAATTGCGAGGCTTGTTGAGTCTTTATTGTCTCTTAATGAGGTAAGGACCTCTGTGAGAGTTGCTATAGTGATGTACATGGTATTGAACGGTCTCGTGAATAAGGTGTGTTTTCCCTGTGGGCTTCAGGTTTGCAGGAAACATGGAAAGACAGCAGGCCGACAACCTGCTTAAGTCTCACAGCAGCGGCACCTATCTGATCCGAGAGAGGACGGCAGAGGCAGAGAGATTCGCAATCAGCATCAAGTGAGTGTTATAGGAAAGACATGTATTCATGTCAAGAATAGAACATTCTGTATGTCTTCTTTTAGTATTTTGTCATTCACCATTGTTATGTGCCTTTTAACAGGTTTAATGATGAAGTGAAGCATATTAAAGCATGTATTCATGTCAAGAATAGAACATTCTGTATGTCTTCTTTTAGTATTTTGTCATTCACCATTGCTATGTGCCTTTTAACAGGTTTAATGATGAAGTGAAGCATATTAAAGTTATTGAGAAAGACAACTGGATTCACGTCACAGAAGCAAAGAAGTTTGAAAGCCTCCTGGTAAGAGAGTTTGCAATTAAAAGTATTATGGGATTTTATTATGCTTGCACGGTGAAGACTGCACAATTAATTCACTTGAAGCACATAGCATACTGATTTCTTTGCAAGTTTTACGTTGTAGATATTTTCTTTTAGTGTCTATACATATACACACTACCATTCAAAAGGTCTGTAAGATATTTTTTTTGTAAAGAACATTTATTCTGCAAACACACCTTCATTTGATCAAAAATTAGAATTTTTTCTATTTCAAATAAATGCTGTTCTTTTGAACTTTCTATTCATCAAAGAATTCTGGGGGGGGAAAAATTTATTATTGTTTCCACAAAAATATTTGTGACCCTGGACCACAAAACCAGTCATAAGGGTACATTTTTCGAAATTGAGATTTATACATCATCTAATAAGCTTTCCATTGATGTATGGTTTGTTAGGATAGGACAATATTTGGCCGAGATACAACTATTTGAAAATCTGGAATCTGAGGGTACAAAAAAATCAAAATATTGAGAAAATCGCCTTTAAAGTTGTCCAAATGAAGTTCTTAGCAATGCATATTACTAATCAAAAATTAAGATTTGATATATTTACGGTAGGAAATTAACAAAATATATTAATGGAACATGATCTTTACTTAATATCCTAATGATTTTTGGCATAAAAGAAATATCAATAATTTTGACCCATACAATGTATTTTTGGCTATTGCTACAAATATACCCCAACAACTATCATGTGATACTGAAGACTGGAGTAATGGCTGCTGGAAATTTAACTTTGCAATCACAGAAATAAAATACATTGAAATACATTGAAATAGAAAACAGTTATTTTAAATAGTAATGATATTTCACAATATATTATTGCTGTTTTTTTTGTGTTTTTTTTAATTAAGTAAATGCAGCCTTGGTGAGCATAAGAGACTAAAAAATATTTGTAGAAAATCATACTGACCAAACTTTTGAACAGTAATGATTTTGTGTATAAATAAAAATCTACAAACAGTGATAATGTCATTGGAATATTTGCATACTAAATTGTGATTGGTCTTCTTTCTTGAATTCGTTTTTTGCCTGTCTGTAGCCATACGCTGCACAGCTGTGTGATGCTAATTTAGCATTGTTGTTGCATTTCGCTTACACAGAACCAAAGCCTAATCTAAGCCTACCTAAACTATAACTTTTTTCCTTGCAAATACTGATATTTCTTCTGGAAATGCAGTTACAGTTTCACAGTATCTTGATAAAGATGAAAACATCTGGAACATCAAAGTGCTGTAAGTAACTTTAGATATGTTTCTTTGTTACAGGAGCTTGTGGAGTATTATCAGAGTCATTCACTGAAAGAGAGCTTTAAGCTGTTGGACACAACATTACGATACCCTTACAAATCCAGGGAACGCTCGAGTTCTCGCACCAATACCCGCTCACCAGGTAAACATTTGCTGCCATAATCCTCTGCAGCTTTTTATCTCTCTCTTTCTACAGCTCCCTTTCTCTCTCCCTTTTTTATTTTCACTCTTCTGCTTTCTTGCTTTTTCTGGCACAAATTTTTTATTGAGCCCCCACCAGTCTGGCCAGCAGCACTTCCACAATCTTTGGACACGCTCTGGAAGTCTGAACAAACAAACCCTGCCAGCTGGTCCCGCCCTCACATTCTGTATGCCCCGCCTCCTGGTATTTCAACTGTCAGTCATCCTTGGCTTGGTTGTCAAGGAGCCGCCCACTCTGGCTGAGGCTGAGGCCTGACTGAGACTTCTGGCTCCCGGGGCCAAGTTTTGCTCAACCAGCTGAATAGGTTCCAATAAACAGATGCTTCATTAGATGTATTAAAATGACGTGCCTTTGTTCGTTTCCAGTCAAGCTTAACTGGTGTTCACTGATATTTTTATGTAAGTGCTTAAAGACAATGTCTGTTTGTGAGGGGCTAAGAATATGCAAGGCTTGAAGATCTCCATATCCAACACAAGAGCTACTTAAAGGAGCCATTCAACCAAATTTTTTCATTCACTTACACTGATGTTGTTTCAAACTTGTGTGACTTAGATTTTCCATTGAACAGAAAAGGACACTGAATATTCACTGTGTTCTTTTCCAGACAATGAAAGTAACCGAAGGCTGATACACATTCACTACTGTTTAAACGTTTGGGGTCGGCAAGAATTTTTAAAAATGTTTTTTAATTAAGTCTCTTTTGCTAATCAAGGCTACATTTATTTAATTAAATATACAGGAAAAGCTGAAACACTGTGGAATATTATTGCTTCAGTGTGGAAAGGCCTGAAAGACATTACAAACTACAAGACCCCATCCCCCAGCACTGAGGCGAATCAACAACTTGCCGAAGACCTGAATGAGTTTTACTGTAGATTTGAAACTCTCTGTCTCACACCCACACCCGTTCTGACCATCTCTCTACACAAACATTAACACCTCCATCAACTCCCCTCTCCCCCGCTCCTGCACTCCAGATCAGTGAAGATAATGTGTTTCAAATCTTCAGGAAACAAAAGAGAAGGAAAGCACCAGGACCAGACGGTGTTTCACCACCCTGTCTAAAAACCTGTGCTGACCAGCTGGTCCACATCTTTTCACAGATCTTCAACAGATCACTGGAGCTGTGCGAAGTCACTTCCTGCTTCAAATGCTCCACCATCATCCCCATTCCAATGAAACCCAAAATCACAGGACTGAATGGCTACAGACCTGTTGCCTTAACATCTGTGGTCATGAAGTAATTTGAGAGACTGGTGTTGGCTTATCTTAAGGACATCACTGGACCCTTACTGGACCCCCTGCAGTTTGCTTACCGAGCAAACAGGTCCATGGATGATGCAGTCAACATGAGACTGCATTATATCCTACAAAATCTAGACAAACCAGGGACCTATGTGAGGATCCTGTTCGTGGACATCAGTTCGGCCTTCAACACCATCATCCCAACACTCCTCCAGACCAAACCAAAGACTATAGAATACCCAAGACATGTCACTCGTATAGTTTTGAATGGGCAAAAATGCAATGCTCAATATGGCCGCTCTATCGACGGAAGGCCCGCCTTCTGAATAAAAGAGACGATCTATAATCGGTATAAGTCATTGCGTCACTGCAGGTGCCATTAGAAGTCCTGGTTGCTATAGAAACAGTCAGCGTTCTGGAGACCTGTGCTTAGGACTGCACATGCGAACTGGCTGTCCTATCCTGAAAAAAAAGCTTTTTTAACAAAACAAAAAAAAATAATTTATGAGACAGTTGTTGTCAGATTTCGTTGGTGATTTCAAATCTGAAATTTAATCGTAAGCTTAGCGAACAGTTTTGGAGAATTTGATGTTTCCCCATTCAAAGACATAGGAGCTGCTTTCTGACAGATAGGCAACAGCTAGTGACACTGGGGAAATTCATGTCAAACAGCCGCACCATCAGCACTGGTGCCCCTCAGGGATGCGTTCTCTCCCCACTGCTCTTCTCCCTGTACACCAACAACTGCACCTCTACTGACCCCTCTGTCAAGCTTCTGAAGTTTGCGGGCGACACTACAGTCATCAGCCTCATCCAGGACAGTGACGAGTCTGCTTACAGACAAGAGGTTAAGCAGCTGGTTGTCTGTTGCAGTCTTAACAACCTGGAGCTGAACACGCTCAAAACTGTGGAGATGATTGTGGACT